CATGATAGGATCCCAGTATTGATCAAAGTCCTAAACCAAGAGCTGAAGTCAAAGCGGGGAGATTATTGGAGGACAAGAAGAATATGCATAAGGCTGAGACCACCCATGTTCCCAGCGCTCGCGCAGCCGCCCCTGACGGGAGCGGGCTCGGCTGCGGCTGCAGCGCTCGGCGCCGGGGCCCGGCCGGAGCCGGGACTAGCATGTGCCGCGGCTCTCGGGCGGCGGCGGCGGCGCCTCCTCGGCAGCAGCAGCGGCAGCAGCAGCAGCATCGGCCGCCATGGCCAAAGCCGGCGTGGAGCTCACCCGCGAGCTGCAAGGTACGAGGTTGCCTTGGTGTCTGGGACGCCCCGTCCGGGAGCATCTTCAGACCCAATGCTTTTCCTGCCCGCGCTACGCCCCAACCTGGTGCCTCCCGCCCCTTCAGCGTCCTTGCTCCAAGGCGGTTCCTACTCCTGCAGCCCGGGGCTCGGGCAGCGCTGACCCGGGAGCCTCCTCCTCAGGCTTCCGCGCCTCACCCTGCCTGTCCCGGGGCCGCCCGTCCCGCTCTTCGGGGACAGGTGCACTTCCCCGCGCTCCCCGGGGCTGACTTGGAGCGTCCCGGACCTGCGCCCTCCGCGCGCCGTCCAGGCTCCCCCTCCGGAGTCCCGCTTCCCCCACCCCCGGCCGGGCGGGGCCAGGCCCGCCCCGCGAGGCAATGGGAGCTGCCCCTGGTCCTGACCGCCTCTCTCCCGAGCACCTTCCCTCCTCTCGGCCCCGCCCCGGAACTGGCCCCGGAGAGCCCCCTAGGAGGCAGGCAGCGCCCAGGCCAGTGGGGCAATGAAGGGAGTCAGAGGAGAGGCCCCAGACTGAGAGCAGGATCTCTGCGGCTCTCCCCCTCCAGCCTACCCCCTTCTCACTACCCACCACCCACACCTCAAGGCCTCTCCTGCTAGCCTGGTTCTCAGATTCAGCCCAATCCACGCCAGTCCCCCTCCCCCTAGCCACAACCCTGACCCCTCAGAGGCAGGAGCACTGGCGAGCCCACGCAGAGAGCAGGACGCTCAAGGATACTCAGCCATGCTGCACTCTGGCGATTTCCCACACCTACACATGCACAGGAGCACAATCATGAGATGTGTGTAGACTCAGCTTTACAGAAACTGCACCCCCACCACACACATACTGTAGGGTATCTGGAAGGTATTGCCAGCAGATGGACATAGAGCTCGTCTAAACACTAAATCTTCCCCCCCACTTCCCAAACGCCCCTTCCTACCCACTACGCGCGCATGCACACATACACATACACACACATACACACACACACACACACACAGAGGAGCTGTCTGGCACTATGCTCCTTTCACAGCTACAAGCCAACATATTCATTCACACTTCTCTGTCAACACCAATGACATGCTCAGGCTCCTTCACATCCTCAGAAGGCAGCCACATACTCATAGTAAAGGCAGACTTTCATACCCGGGCCACCTAACATACAGTCAAGGGACACTCCTACATCCTACACACTGACTCACAGTGTATGTGTTGATGGCTGTTGTAGTGCATGGGTTGGAAAAATCCTTTACACCCTCAGAAGTGTAAGACACACCCTCCCACAGACAATGTCACTCAGCAACTGTCCCTTGACTCAGAAACATCAGGAACCAGAGTTTTCTCT